GACACACAGAGAGATACAAGACAGATGGGTGGACAGACACACCCTCTGAAACACAGACACACCAACAATCACATTGTTTATAACTGGGAAGACAAGGGGTCAAGACACTGACATGATTTATTTGTTCTTGCATACTTTTTTGCAAATCTAGTTCTTGAAAATTAAACAAAATGAACGAATTGATATTGTGCAATTTTTTTTTATGAAAGGGGAAAGTGTGATGTCAGATGAAACTATCACAGCTGAAGATAAAGAGACACCAAGAGAAGGTAAAGACATCCCTCCCTTAAATCTGGAAGATGATGAGGCCAGACCAGATTCCGCTGGAAGGAGCACTGCACGATCCACTCTACAAAGGTTAGATACAAGCCTTGTGTATTGGGTTCAACAGATCATTAATATATATACTTTGAATGTATCTCGAGGCTGCATGCTGTTAAAAATGCTCGACAAGCTAAGAAATACTAGAATTTAAGAAAAAAATATAAATATATATATGTAGGTATGATTATATAATATATTAGATATGAATTTTATAGATATAAAGTAGACCAAAAATGAATAAAAATATGAACAGATAAAGTTAAATACAGTTCATACATTGACACCCTGTGAAATTGACATTATTAAGCCGAGCACGAAATTGTGCTAAAGTGCTCGAGGATTTGGTGACAATTGGTAGTTGATTCCATATGTGGGAAATCAGGTATAAATAGGACTTGTGCATGACAAGGCTGTTATATGAGGGCTGCACAACATTTAAGCCAATATTTCGTAGATTGTATTTAGTTAGCCGAGGTGTAGAAAATTGAGAAGTATAATTTGAGCAATCTAGTTTAAAACATTTAAAAAATAGAATGAGCGATTGCAGGATACGCCTTTGCTCAAGATTGTTCGTATCAGCCATTGCTAAGGAAAAGTCATAGGTGGTCGAATTACCTAAATTTAGTAATGTTTAGATCGCATAATGATTGATACGTTCAATGTTATATTTCAAGGCGTGAGATATGCCCAGAAGTAATGGGCAACAATATTCTAAGTGCGGTAACACGTAGGCTTTATAAAGGGGAATCGTAACGTCTGAAGGAATTAAACGCTTAATCCTCTGTAGTGCGGCTAACTTAATAAATTTCCAGCTAAACCTCAAGTTTTCAATGTTTCAATGGAGTTTTGAAAAAAAAATTCCAGATTTTTTTTCAATAGCTTTTTTATTTCCTTTTTGGGTTCTCATTACTAAACAAATTAAGTCTGTCCTCTTTAGTTGACGATGTTTAACAACTATTCACCGAAGTGGAGGTGGTTAGTGGTGGATATTTACCGAGCCGCGAAGCGGCAAGGTAAATATCCACCGCTAACCACCGACACTGAGGTGAATAGTTGTTTTAGTATATAATAAAACAGTGAGATAATATACACCACTGTTGTTAATTTGAGTGATTTCTTTGCTTGTCAAGGATGTAAACTGGGACGCCATTTTTTCCCGAGTTGCTCGGAGGTAAATAGCAAAGGATGTTCGGAGTTTTACCAGCCAATCAGAGCGCGCCTTTAACGCTATCCACTGTCTTAGTATCTACTAATTAGTGTTATTATTTATCCATTTCAACTGCTAAAAATTTTGTACCATACCAGTGACTTATCAGTCATTTTGAACAAGTGTGTTTCTCTTTTTCAAAGGCCTCTTGTGGAGAAGTTGGAAAACATGCACAACAATGCTCTTGGAGATGGAAAGGAGACCTGTCTTCTTTGTGGTTCCAAGTTTTCACTGAAAGTTATTTCAAAGAGATGTGACATCTGTGATAAGGTAAAAATTAAACAAATAAAATTGTTACTTTGCAACTCCAGAAATTTATTTCTTTATTTTGCATGTTGAACATGACTCTTGATGGTAAGTTTTATTACAATCTAAATCAAAAGTCTTTCTCCTCATTGTTCTCCCAAAAGATACACAGAAGGTCAGATTAGAATTACTTTTCCCATTCCCAAGATCTCAATAGTAACTCTCCAGACTTCCTGCTGCACAACTCTTATAATGTTAGTTCCACAAATTTGGTTTAAGATCAACTAGTAATCCTTTACTTGATATATGTATTTTTTTCTCATTCATCTGTTCGATATTGTATTTATTTGAAATAGTTGAGAGAGAAATTCTGTCTTGCTCAGTCATAGGAGTTAAAAGGGTGGAAGCATTTGGCTTTTGAGAAAATAACCCATTTGGTACTTCCCTCAAAAATGAGGGCAGAAATTAGCCAGCACTTTAAATTTTTTCTCACGCTTTCTTTTTACATGAATGTTAAGTGATAAATACATGTATGTTACAAACAGGTTGCCAAGAGACAATTATGGCTTTTCAGTTGCTCACCAAGGGTTTTTTCCTATGCACCATGGCTACCATTACAATGGCAGCTTGGAGAGCTGTTTAATGTGCATTCATTTGGTTAAGAACAAAATCATTTCACCCAGGGGCTGAAGGTTATTTAACAATTGGTTCATACATGTGTGCATTCATTGAGATATGTCAAAGCATACAGGAAGTTTGGAGAGCACGAAAAATGCGTAAGAGTTGCTCGAAGCATAGCCAAGAGCAACTCTAGCGTCTTGAGTTGCTTGTTTTGTTTTCCCTTTCTCTGGGTTCTTTCTCAGGAGTTAAGAAAATCCATTCCCAAAGGAAAAGTAGGCAGAACTTCATCGTCTTGTTTGCTTGTTGCCATGTCTAGTTTATAACTTTTTTGCGGAGGTTTTTCCTGTTTTTTACTTGAAAAATGCTGAAGTCACTCAGGAGAAAAAAATTTTTTCGCAAGGCATTTGTTTGCTGACATTACCAGCATGCATAATGGAAAATTGAAGCACACTCACGCTATTGAATTTGATTGTGCAAATTTACAAGCTACATTATAATAGGGTTTGAAGTCAGAGTCCCTCCATGAGTCAAGTGCCATAATCTCTTACCATGTGTTTCCTTGAGATATAGACTGTTGATTAATTGGGCTGACATTGAGACAAACAACATTTATTAAATTCCAATGGTCTTATCTGTCTTTGACAGATTGTGACATTAAGCTCAGATTTTGATTTACTAGTTGCATATTGTACAATATACTTTTGAAACTAAGTCTTAATTCTTTTCAGAGTGTTTGTGAAAAGTGTGGTTTAAGAACTCAAGACAGTGATGGCGATAACATATGGCTGTGTATGTTGTGTAGTGAACACAGAGAGGTATAAATACCATTTATCATTCCAAGTGACATGTTAAATTAACCCTTGTCAATGAGTAACATTATCTGGCCCAATCCTTTGAGAAGACAGTGCTTGAAAATGCCTTAAACTGGTAGAGCTTAAACTGCAAATCTTTGGATAGGAGAATTCATCAAGCCAGACTTTGGATTTCTTCAAGCCATTTATGGACCAAATTGCTTTCAAAGACACGATACTTCACTTACAAAAGGGTAGGCCCCCTCAGGGAGGTTTGTCAGTCCTTTGTGTCAAGATGTCATCATTCAGAGATAACTGAAATCTCTCCTTGATGTTCCCCCTTTACACCCTAACATCAATATGGATATTCTCCATATACTGTTCCCTATACATTTCCAAGGAGAATTTGTTTAAGTTTCAAGAGCTTCTTTAGTTGATCTTTGTATTTATTCTCATTACCTAATGAATGATTCTCAGCAGTATTACTGTAAAGAAAAGTTAAATGCTGGTCACTCTTGAGGTTTAGGCAGTTAAGATTAATACTATATAACAGTTATGAGATCTTAAGAGTGAAAGGGCTATATCTACCATACAGTTCTTCTGATGTTAGTTTGAAAAATTTGCTATTAGATCAAGTAATGATCTGCTAATCGATATTTTTACTTTATTCTCATCACCTGTCTGTTTAATATTGCATTGCCATTGTAAGGAGAGATTGTATCTTGGTCACTCATGGGAGTTAAAGGGTTGTCTCTATTCTGAGTCATTCAAGTGTAATGCAGGGTGAATATTTTCCCTTCCTATAGCTCTGGAAAAGAACTGGTGCATGGTTTTTCAAAGCCATACCCAAATATACATATCCTCAAACAGGACGACGCACTTCCTCCAACAGAACTGTGAGTTTTTAAATTTCTGGTAGAATAAAGAGGTGAAATGTTTTTAAAGGTGATATCATTAATGCATCTGCCCACCAATAGATCAGAAGTAAGAACCAATCACAAAGTGTGTTTCATTCACCTTATTAAATGTAAATTTTATTGATTAACAGGACACAACGTCTTCCAATAGCTCAGACCAAATTTTTTTTCCACAATCAAATAAATACAACCAAACATGGACAAGTTATTCAAAATCCAAAGGTAACCTGTGCAATAAATTTACTCTGTGAATATTTTTCAGCTTCCGTACACTCAATATTTCTATCTCCATGTAAAAGTGGGATATAGTAGCAGAAAGGTTAGCATAGCTGAATTCCAGTTTGAAAGGTCTGGGTTTACAGCATCACTGGGTCTAAAGACTTCATTCTTACAGTGCTGCTTTTCACCCTGGTGTATAAATGGTACTACATACAACAAGATAATTTGGTTTTATCAGCTTAGTTGATAATTAAATTAAATTGGCCACCATAAAGAGTATCTAGTAAGCAGGTGTTTTGAGTGTTAGCACTTCATCAAAGCAAACTGTGAAGGAAGAGCTCTGAAGCTCTCACGAAGGGCTATAGCCTCCCGGTTAGCTCAATGGATAGAGCGCTGGACTGTTGTGCGGGAGGTTGAGGGTTCGAGCCCCGGCTGGACCAACACTCAAGGTCTTAAAATAATTGAGAAGAATATGCTGCCTTTCTATAATATCAAGAAACAGTTAGATATTCTAGTCTTCTCAGATAGGGATGAATAAATGGAGGTCCCATCTCCTGCAGGGTTAGGGGTAGGAGACGTTAATTTCCCACAGGCAAGATTACTGTGTGATGGATGTCCTCCCCTGGGGTGGTTGGGTGGGTTACTGAGCCCGCAGTAATTGGCGCAAAGCTGTTGCAGTTTCCCTGCCTGTCGGCAAATCTTGTCAATCGTAAATGGTAAATCATTCAAATGCCAGCTTAGATACTCTCTATGGTGGCCAATTTACATCATCCACTTGGGCCATAAAACCAAATTATCTTGTTAGACTTTCCCACTGATGCAGCACTACAGTTTCTTTAGAAACTGACCCCCTTTTCTACTGTACTTAGAAGAAGTTGAGGAAACCCATTGACAAAATGCTATGAGAGGGGTCTACTGTGCTTAATTGCAGTTTGCACCTCAAATTGAATTGGGGCTTTGACAAATACAGGGGAAATAGGGAACTAATAACATTTTTCCCTGGGCTGTACCTGTAATAGACAGGCATACTAACCATGGGAAGAAGCAGCTCTCTTACTTTACTTTATGCTCATTAAACCTGCTACATAGCTCCTGAGTTTTGCTCCTTTTGTAAAGAAAGTGCCAACAGTTTACCTTACTTTTGAATTTGTAGATAATCTGGATGGTGGTATTAGAGAGGAGAGGCAATCAGAGGATGAGGAGTCAAGCAGTTCATCCGATGAAATGTTGTTTGACAGTTCTACTCCACTTAAATCTCCAAGAGGCAGATCATCAACTTTGGAGGAGGCAATGTCCTATACAAGACGAATATCAACAGAAGTTTCAATGCCTGGCAGTGCCATTTTAGAAAATATAGATACTCCTCCTCCCTTCCGTAAGAGAACTCTTGCAATGTCACAAGAAGAACAGCCCCATAGATCATCGCCACACACAAGCCCATTACATCAAGCTAATGGAAAACTCAGTAAGTGATTATACAGGGCACCTAGTGTATGCTATTATATATAAATAATTCTTTATTTGGAGAAAGGAATCCCTGCAGAAACTGTTGTACAAGGATGGTATGTTGAAAAGACAAAGATGGTTTTTTAATTCAGTTTTCATGTAAGATAGTTGATCCAATACCAAATTCTCCAATTGAATGTCATAAGTATTGTACGACAGACAGTTAGGAGAATTACTATTGAGATCTCAGGAGTGTAAGGGTGCAGTAAGGAACTGCCAAGTTGATATGAGTTTGACTGATTAGTACATTGGTAATGTTTATTTACTGCCTCTAGAATAGTACTTGTCCGATTTGAACCTGTTTCTGCCTTACTTGATTAGCATCACCAATGGTGGTAACAGCTTGGCAAGCCTCTATCAGATTTTTCTAGAATTTGTTTTCTTTCTTTTTTTTTGAATAGCTCCAGACAGCAGTCATACAGAACCAGAATCTCCCAAAAGGGAAAAAAGTGGTAGTTTTACTGGAAGAGGTCACGTAAGAGATGTGAGAGATGAAGCCGAAGTAAGGGTGAGGGCACTGGTAAGAAAGCAGGACACAGAAGAGGAAGACATTGATGAACTGGTTAGAACATTCAAAGAATCAGAGGCCTCTGTGAACAAGGATGTTGGTGATGCTGGTAAGTGTGCAGTCTACTGAAATGTGTGGGAAAATAGCCTCCAAGACACTCTGTGGGGGGGAACAACCTCTGTTCCATACCCAGCCCGATTGACTTTCAAGGTGCATTGTGCCTGTGCACAATGTTACCATGTGATTGTTCAGTAATAGATCATGGGTGATCTGTCAAAATGTGGTAAGAAAAAAAATGTGGTAAGATAAAAAATGTGGTAAGATAAAAAATGTGGTAAGATAAAAAATGTGGTAAGATAAAAAATGTGGTAAGATAAAAAATGTAGCACATGAGGCATGGCTGGGTGTGTCAGGGATGTTCCTACCACATTTTGATATCTTCCGTGATCAATCACTGAACAGACACGCATCAATATGGAATCTATTTGTTTTACATATGATAATGTACATGAAAAAATTTCTCAGTTCTGATTGGTTAAGATGAATGCAGTTTTCAGTTAATTCAGTGCAGAAGAGAGTTAATTCAGTGCAAAGAAAGAAACAAACCAGACATTCTGATTGGTCAGAATGATTGGTCAATGTCAATGTCAAGGTCAATGTCAAGGTCAATGTCACTTGCAGGGTTTGAATAAATTATTTTTGCATGTGATGCGTGCACTTTTCTTCTGCGTAGTTATGCGAAGGTACCTCGTATTTTTTCATGTATATTATTAAAAGATAATCACATGATTTTCTTGTGCAATTTGGAATAAATAAGCACTTGTAAATTTTTTCAAAGACCACAAATTGCACTCGCCCTACGGGCTCATGCAGTTTTGTTAGTCTTTGAAAAAATTTACTTGTGCTTATTTATTCCAAATTGCACTCAAAATCATGTGATTACCTATACTAACAAGAGAAGGGAAATACTTTCAATGGTGAAGTCATCTATGCATCTATCCTCCCATGGATTATGACTGAGAACCATCCAAGATGGGTTCATAATTCTGCTTATTATATAACTACTATTATGTTACTTCCATTTCCTCACCTTTCTTTGCATCACACTAGGGTTTATAAATCTCGGTGCATGTGTCATGTCTTAAGAGAACTTGCATGAATTGAATTTCAAGAATTCAGTTTTTGTGTGGACCTCAAACAGTCCTCTGACATGCTGTGCACTTTTTCTTCACCCCAGGTTTTTTTTTTCCCTTGGTTTTTCTAGTTACCCCCCTCCACAAAAAGCATCTGTCCAAATTCCAAATCATTATGGCCACAGTGCAGGAGAAGAGCCATGCAGTGGATGTCCAAATTAATAAATCTGAGCTATTGTTTCTTATTTTAAAAGGAGTATTGCTGGTGATGCACTCCTTACGGGATATGTAATTGATAATGAGTGGCAGTTACAACGAGTGGCAGTTACAAGGAGTGGCAGTTAAAATGTTCATCAAAGTAACTTAAGGATTCTAGCTTTTAATTTGAGAGACTATAGTGATCTGTCTTCTGTCTACCAGAGGGTTGTAACCAATGCTTTACTAAGGATGACCCAATTTTTTCTTTTATTTATTAGGACTGGGAACATTGGAATTTGATATTCATTATAACAAACAGCACAGTCAGCTTCAGGTGACAGTTGTTTGTGCCAAGGTGAGTTTCACATCTGAGCTACCATATCAGCCAAAAATCATACAGCTTTATATGGACATTTTATGTATTTTGTTAGTATATGTTAGTGGGGGATAATTTTCAAAGCAATGCTGATGGTAGTTGTTATTTACAGAGCCTGAAAGCCATGGATTCCAGCGGAACATCCGACCCTTATGTTAAAATTCACCTTCTTCCCGGTGCTAGTAAGGTACACTTGATGAAGATATTGTAGTATTGACTGCCGCTATTACCAAATTCAAACATAAAAACAATTAAAAATAGTCTTCAGAGGGTCTACTTCTTTTTAAAAAATAAGTTGTGACTTATCATGAACCAAGGGAACAGAGAGGCCGAGAGTGTATCTGACCGCACGCTATTTGTTATTTGAAAATCTGTTAATGCTAATAAGGTTTCCCTTTCAATGCTCCTCCGAAAGCGTCACGTTGTAACCATCATTAAAGAACCACTAGGCAATTCGCGAACCCTCTTTCTTAGTTTAGTCTGCCGTGAGAGGCGATAGAAATTGAAAAAATAATTTAATGAGCGCTCTTTGATGGAGAGTCGTCAAGCCCAAATCCATAGTAGTTACGATAGCCAATCAGAAGAAAGGAAGATATTAAAAAGAGCCAATGAGAACTCAAAGTTGAAGGAGCAAATTGCTGAAAGCGCGGGAAAACGCGAGTGCCCAAATGGCGATTAGTTTTAAGTTTTGAATGTAATTGGTTAAGAAAGTGGCGTGGGTTTTCTGTAGCAATCACAGAGCGAAGTAAAGCGAAGTCAGTTGCAGAGCAATGCTGTATTACATCCGATACTCGACTGAAAACTGCTCTATTGGCTGATTTATTTCGTTTAGAAGAAATCATCAAATTTATGATGACCAGTTGATGGTTTTACGCTAAACGAATATATTTGAGGCTTTCTGTGCAGTGAAACTTCTTCAATTTCATTTGTAGAGTAACAAATTAAGGACTCGTACCAAGTACAAGACTTTGAATCCGAAATTTGATGAAATATTGGTTTATCATGGGATCACAGATGATGATATTTCAAAGAAGTCTCTCAGGTACACATCACTTAACTCTTTAAAATAAATATGAGAGTATTGTCAGTCATTCATTTTATGAAACATATCATTGCATTTTTATCCTTTTCTCAGACTTCAAGTTTTGGACGAAGATAAACTTGGTCGCAACAATTTCATTGGAGAGACTTGCGTGGCTCTAAAGATTTTCCACAGTAAACCTTCTCAGTCTTTGAAAAGGTCACTAGTTTCTAGAGGTTCTGTAAGTATGGAAATTGTTGTTATATATTTCTGTTATATATTTCTGTTCAGTATATATTTCTGTTATATATTTCTGTTATATATTTCTTTATGCAGTTTTTCGTGTACTTGTTTTAGATTTAAATCACGCGGCATTACATTCTTTCTTTCATATCTGTGTGTCTTTGGGCCCCTATACCTGTGTGATCATAAATTATTTGTATCTTGGAACAGATTGAAGAAGGACGGGTAGGTACCTCTTTTTCTCCGTAGTGAACAATTACGTTTTTCTTATAGCCCGTGCATCTCCTTCAAATACGTCGAAGGCAAATAAGGCGGACTACTCCGCCATAAGCGAGTTTAGAATGGGCTGGCATCAACCGTCTCCTCAGTGTCTTTTTTTTCCAGGTCTACCTTGACAGCATTTCTAATTCATTTACTTTCGTTGTTAATTATATCGATAAACGGAAACGAAACGGAAACGAAACGAAAAACCAAATCATTGTTTCTTTAAGATAAACAAGTAGTTGTACCAACTTTTCTAAAAAAAAAAAGATGAAAAAGTCACATGAAAAATAAATAAATTCAATGATTTCAAAACTGGGTGAGGTCTTGAAGTGTTCTGACCCTGGCAATAAGGAGCGGAGAAAAGAAGTGTACCGTACTTCAATAGCATTAAACCCACTTAAACGGTCGATGATTTATACAGGAATCTCCAGAGCCTGATCTTGGACGTCTGCAACTGTCTCTGAAGTTCAAATCACAAAAAAATCAACTTATAGTCGGTGTGATTCGCTGCGCCGGTTTGGCAAGCATGGACGCCAATGGTTATTCAGATCCTTATGTCAAATGGTGAGTGTCAAGTAGTCGGTGTTTTTTTTTTGTTTTTTTTTTTGTTTTTTTGTTTTTGTTTTTTGTAGTATTATTTCACGTGTACAGGGTTGATAACGAGTGTTGGACAGTTTTAAAAAAATTAACTTTTTAAAGAATAGTAGCTATGCTGACAAATTCAGATGAACCACCATCTATAAAATAAGAGCATTAATAAGACAGTGTACGTGTCAAGCTTGTAATTGGTCAGTGTAATCGGACAGTTGACACCTCATGCCTGTGTAACTGGACAGTATGTGTCATGTGCGCGCTCTGTTGTCGTGCATTTCGCCAAGTTTTAACAGTTAAAACGTTTAAACGATGTCTGGTTCCTTTCTCAAATTTCGTCTTAGTTTTGTTTAATTGGTAACAAGACTTTGTACCGTCTTATTCCGTCTGTAATCATACTCGTGATTTAACAAATCAGACTGGAAGTTGTCATCTTATCGGGCTTTTTGTACAATGTTGCTGGTACCATTTCTGTTTCAGTTATCATATTGTTTCTTGGTTTTGATATTTTTCCTATCTTTCCAGCTACCTTAAACCTGATATAAATAAAAAATCCAAGAGAAGAACGAGTGTCAAGAGAAAGACACTAAATCCTGAATATAACGAGGTAAGAATTATTAGCTATCTTCAACCAGAGCGCTTTAGATCCACTGTCGTTAAAACCAAGACCAAAGTAAATACAACGGCCAATCGGAGGAAAGGAAAATGCCTGTGAGATCCAATTAGAACTCAAAGTTAAAACCAGCCAAACTCCCCAAAGCGCGGGAAAATGTGGGTAACCGAGTCGTGAGTCGTGACTAGTGTTAGATTTGCGTCTGATTGGTTGATAGAGTAGCGTGAGTTTTCTGGACCAATCACCGAGCAAAGTAAAGAAAAACCAATGCAATCCCGAATTTCCATCGACACTCAATTGAAACCTACTCTAAAGCCTTCTACAACCGTCTTTTTTGATGAGTAATGAAGTTCTGGATCATGTCTGCTTTACTCTAAAAAGAAACTTCGCCTCCATGGGCTAAACTTTTCGATTCAATATGATCTAATTGTGGAATTTGTGGGTAGAAAGTTATGATCCTTGGGAAATCCCACCTTGAAGATGTACTTCGTGGCATTTGGCCACCTCTCCAATTTTATTAAAAAGGAGGTTTTCAAAGAAACCCTTGTATGGGATGAAAATTGCTACTTTTGATAGGTGGCCTAACAACCAGACTGAAAGATAAAGGGTATTATGAAAAGTCAAGAAATTTGTCCTCCTGCCAGTTTTTTTTTTAACGATTTTATAGATACTTTTTCGATGAGTATTCTTAACTTGTATTCTTTGCTAAAATGAATGATAGATGTTTTGGATGTCATATTAATAGAAAACAATATTTCGTTACAACTGCATTTATCAGGGAAAACATTTATCGAAAGTAAGGCTCTAATATCAAAACAGCCTCATCCCTCGTGAAGCCTTTCAGTTGCTTTGAATGGAGAGTGATAGTGCAATATCAGTGAAGAAAATAGGATCTTTGTTCATTATTTTTCGTCTCAACAGGAGTTTGCATATGATATCACACACAGTGACCTCGCGAAGAAAAGTTTAGAATTAACAGTATGGGATCATGATGTTGGAAAAAGTAATGATTTTATAGGTAAGAGAGTCTGTGTTTTCCGTACTGTTTGCATAGTGACAGTTGCGCTTGCTGAATTGGAAGATTTTAGAATCGCTCATGTATCGGCTTTTCAGAGGTGGAAGACACAGTGGCCGAATGCTCAGTGCACTGGACTCTCGGTAGAGAGGTCTGGGTTCGAGACCTGGCCTGGTCATCGTATTATGTTGTTGGGAAAAACGCTTTACTCTCACAGTGCCTCCCGAAACCCAGGAGTATAAATGGGAACCGGAAAATTGACGGGAGCCTGTTGAAATATAGGGGGCGGGGGGTTAATCTTGCGATGAATTAGCATTCCATCCATGGGGGAGAAGTGATACTCCTAGTCGCTCCATGCTATTTGGAATCCAAGATAAGCTCCGGCTGAGTGGGCTAACAGGCTTGCATCGGATTTTTACCTTGTATCAGCTTACGAAGCCATCAATTGGTAAAGCCGTGTAACTTACACTTGCCCCCTCCCCCTGTGGCGTAAAGCTATGATGGATATTGCTGCTTCGCACTCAAGGATGGTAGTCCCTTTTACATCATTTCATGGGGAGAAATCATTGGAAATCAGTTTTGCATATGTATCAAGAGGAAAGAGAGTTGCTTGATCGATTGACTTTTAAAACACGAGCCAATGATAACTAAAGTAGGTGCAATTAGCGGGAAGATGTGGGTCACCACTGGGAATTTATCATCTGGTTGGATTAGAAGGTGACGCGAGTATTTTTAGACCATTCAAATGGCTCAGTAAAGTTTTACCATCACAATTCCAAAATTGCCTTCGGCACTTTTTTGAGAATTTCCCTTACCCAGTGCCCATTACCCTTTCGACAAAGTGAAACAAATTTAAAATTGAACAAGGGCGTGTCTTTCTCAGGTGGAGTTGTTCTGGATATTAACTCAACCGGAAGTGCATTGATGCACTGGTACGCCATGCTGAAGAATCCAAACCAAGCGCACACTTATTGGCACACGCTGGAAAAATTAACGAATCACGAGCAGGAATAAGACGTCGCGTTCAGTGACAGCAAAAATTAGAAGTCTCATGTGAGTTGCGTTACCCAATGTCACGACCGTTCACCCAGCACTATTGATATTTACTTCTCGTGTGATATTCAACACTTTGAAATGGAGACTGCAGAGACCAAGGGTTAAAGCTAGCGATGCCTGCCTCTAGAGTAGTTTTTGATCGAGTGTTATGAAAGCAAAACAGAAGTAATCACAACAGCCAATTAGATGAAAGGAAGTTATCACAAGCAGCCAGTAAGAACTCAAAGTGAAAAAAAAAAAAAACACTGTCTGAGTGAAGCGCGGGAAAACGCGGGTGACCGAGTCTTGATAAGTTTTGGTTTTTACTCTGATTGGTTGAGAAAGTGGAGCAATCCTTGATTGCTCTGGACATACAATTGAACGGCTTGCTCGAGTTGCCGACTCCTGATCTATTTCGGAATTTTTATCAAATTAGAGAAACTTTGAGACAAAAGAGGCCTTTTATTTTTGAATTGATTAAACTGACTAGTCAAATCAGTTTAATTGTAAACTCCCTGTACTCTTGAATTTATCTCCCTCCTAGAACTGGATGGTCAAGACAGGCAAAGTTTAGTTATGTAACCGATATTTATTTTTGTTAATTGTTCTCGAATTTTGACATTTTTCATTTAAATCGCAGAGTCAAACTAACAAACAAAAACAAGGAATTAATTTGACAGAATTCTAAGAAATTTAAGTAAAACTTTCCACAAGCCATTTCTCCCAAATAGAAACATATCCTAGAATGCGACGAAAACACACTCAATTTGGACCTAAAATTCCCTTGGTTACGAGGGATTCCCAGCTCAGTAGGAGTACACTAATGACTTCAATATGAATTGGCCACTGAGTTCAACAAAGTCAAAAGGTTCCAAGACGTTTTTAAGATGTTAATAATTTCATGCGTTTACGTCACGCTTAATACTCCTTAGAGACTGGTCACTATTTAACGAAAGGGGGGATCAGATGATTTTGGTTTTGTTACAAAATAATAACCTGATGCCCCCGCCCGCCCCCCCCCCTCCCCCTCGCTCCGTGGAATTCTTTTGGTCACTCCTCATTAACAGTCAATTTTTTATGGTCCCCCTTTACGCTCTGTCAGTTACAACTGATTCCTCCCTCCTCCCCCGTTCGTTCTCTTAGAAAACCATGTGATCTCCAAAATCCTCTAACCTCCCCCCTAGACCTGGCGATGAATGATGACTGACCCCCTACAAGCCTCTATGTATTGAGGAGGGGGAGTGGGAGAATTATTTATATTTGTCATATCGGTAAATTTCGTTACTTTTAACTAAAAATAAGAATACGTTTTGCTGATCTAGATCTTACTCCATATTGTATGCTCATCATATAAGGAAAAAATATACTTTTCTGTTTATATACGCCCTTTAATGTCATATGTCAGTTGTATCATTAGTAGAGAGACTGATGGACACCACTGGCTAAACAATAAGGCGGAAAGCGACTGATTTTTGAAAAAGGCTTTTATATTCCCTTTGGCCTTGTTAAAAGAAAAACAGTAGCATAGTAATTTAAAAAGTTGTATAACAATAGTATATTGGAAATTTTAAAATGTAATCTTAGGTATTAACTTAATATATGTAAAACCGTTAGCTATATAATAATGGATGGAATTAAAAAAAGAAGGAGTCAACCAGGCTGTGGTTATTGCATTAGACCTGAATCTAAGTCGCTTGACTGCTGCATTTTGATACTCGAGCCGTCGCACCTCTAAGCTTTGTTACTTATGGAAATATACTTATAAAACCTTAATTAAACAGGCAACCATGCTTCGGGGCGACGTGCAAGCTTGTTGCCTCGGCCTAAGGCAAATTATCCTTTGCTCCAGATGAGTTAGTAACACCACCAAATCGCTCTATTTTCTTCCACCATTCTGAAGGGAAACACTCCTTCAGGTGTTGCACTCTGCGCACATAGTAGCTAGATCGACATGTCTTACGCTCATGATTCCAAGAATAAAACAGGATGAACTGGTTTTGACCCGTACTTCTTTCCCTTTCATTTAGAGTTATGAATAAGACTTCGGCCCACAAAGGTGACAGAGAATTCAATGGAAGGTCATAAAAGGGGTGTTGTTTTTATAGCATGAGTCAGCGAAATATGTTATTATTGCACTGCTGTCGCGTACCCAGTGCAGCGGGTGCGGGGCTTGGTGCACTGGAGTTCGGGAGGTGCTAACCATAGTGCAAAAATAGACAACATAAGTTTATTCAACAGCATTTAATCTGATCATCGACTCGTTTGAATATTGTACACGTGCGGTGAAAACCAAAAGGGGAAAATCACAATGTACAGGTTAAGGAAAAGTGCCAAAACTAATTGTAAGAGGAAGGGAATCGAAAGGAAAACAAACCGGAATGCAATAGACTGTAGCTTACATCGGATCTTGTTTTAAAGGCGTAAAGAAGCTCCGACGTTGCGTAACTCGAACAGACAAAACTTTAGGAAAACACTCCAACTCCGATATAGTAAGAGGAGCGTTCTCTAAAAAGGGTATCATTGTAAACCGGTTCAAACAGGAACAACTAGCTACGTGAGCGATTCAAACTGCGAACAATATCATACGAAAAACATGGGGGTAAACTCGATAATGAAACAAAAGAGAACTCCAGCTACTTTAAATTAGAACGAAGGTAATTACCTAATCAAAGTCCTTTTTGTCAATGTTCATTTTACAAATGCACCGTCCGAAAACGCGTCCCTGATTACCGATTGACTCTATTAAAAGAAAAAAAATCTGCAGTCGTTAGAGCGACAAGTGGTCCAAAATGGTTTAGCTCAAAATGATAACAAAATGCGACTTCATTTTTCCCAGTAACTCAGGCAAAGTACATCAACCAACTGCACTGGCAAGATTTTGAAAGGAATCACGGCTCAAGGGGTTCTAAAGGGTATGTTTGGCCTACGTAATAGCTGCAAATATTCAACAAACAGAACAGCGCTTACAAGAGGTTACGTTTTATTTAGAAATTAAATCTTCAACAACGCGTCTGTATTTCGTACGTATTTTTCGTTTATTTACGTAGAACAAATTACGGCAGTATCATTTGATTTTCAGTTTTTTTTCAAACAAATTTTGAAAACTCTCCACTAATGGACCATTTCCAAACGTTTACTTTAAATGTTAATATCATCAGTCATCGCAGTTTTGGTCACGTGATGCCTATAGCCCAATCACGTGCTGACAAAACATTTTGATAAATTCTGTTTCAAAATGTTTCTTTTTCTTGTTCTCCTTCCAGTTTTAGTCTTCTTTTTCTCTTCTTGACCTTAGACCTTTCCCTGTAACAAACAGATGTCAGATTATTATGACCTATATATTCCAAACTAACAGTTGTCTGTCGCGATTTGTAATTCACCACATCTTGCAATACCACGTGATTCTGAGGTTAGCATTGTGTAAACTGCCTTGAAACTTCATATAGCTTGATCTTTTTTAGCCAGTCTTTCCATGTTGGTTGTTTTTTCCTTTTATCATTTCACTTAGAGTGCTAAAGTATATGACATTTTAAGAAATTCTTAGCATAGAATGTCCATCTGTAACAAACAATCACTTGAATCTAATATGCCGTGCATGTATTTTTGTCTAAAAGCTGTCTGAGCTGTCCAATTTTATTCTTTCTACTTTTACATCTTGCGTGTTGGCTTGTTAATTTCTCTTGTTTAATGGTTGATCACGTATAGTCAACGAAACTTTTACACACCCATAGCTGGGTATTTCCCTGTAATATAGAATAGCAAGGTCGTCTTCAGTAACACTTTGTAATGTTTCTTTCTTTTTCCTCTTTCTTCGTTTCTTCTTTCCTTTGGACCTCTCCCTGTGGAAAGTAATTTCCATACTCCTCTGAGTCATATTTTATTCTGAGAATTGGTCTTTGATATTTTTATTAAAATAAAGTGCAGCTTGAAAAAGCATACGAACTTTGAGGTTTAGTGGCATCCCTGCATCTTTGTCTCATGCCCGACTGTCAATACTTGTGGTAATGGCTATAAAGGAAATGAACATCCCTCGATATGAAATGATAAAATAGTCTTAAATAATTCAACTGATGTGGATTAAAGGTAACCCTTGCTGCAGTTATCCACATAGAGTCGCTATTTCAATGGCAATGATTTGTTATTTTAATGCTGTGTTTCACTCTTTGAATACACGTAGCTCCTCCTCAAGGAAGGACCTGTGTTATACCTGCCATCTCATCATCAGAGACGTTCACTTCCTCAAAAATCCCACTTTTAAGTATCACCTCGTGCGATAAACCCTATGGTCTAATCTGGCTGTGCTCAAAACGACGCATTATAGCCCAATCTAGTTTAAAGCTTAGCTGATTTTCACATGCCGTAACAGTTAATGTAATATCCCAAAAAAAAGTTGTGGTTTGTAATCGTGGTGAACACACTTTTTATATGAGGTAGGGTTATTTGTTTCACAATGTAGTGGCTAATTTTTTTCGTTTCTCCACCGATCTATAATGAGACATCGCGAGACACAATTATGCATCATATTTATATATACTTTTTACCGCTTCGCTAAATGATTCTTTTAACAATTATTCAGCGAAGCGGAGGTGAATAGTTGTTGATATTTACCGGGCTGCGATACTGAGGTGAGAATATATTAAGAATATATTAAGAATAAATTAAGAATATATTAAGAATATATTAAGAATATACTAAGAGTATATTAAACGGAAACCAAAAATGTCAAAGTGTAGTATGATCGTCCGGGTGAGTGTAGTAGTCCTGAGAGGGACTGTTGTCGGTGGTAGTGACTGACGTTTCGACAACCTGTGCGAAAGTCGCCATCAGAGTTAAGTGAATAGTTGTTGTCAGTAGAATGTTCTTAGTCCAATGATTGTTCAGTTTTGCCGTGATGTTCTTGTAAAACTCAAGTGGCGTAAGTCGGTCGTGATTGGTCTGTTTCGATCCGTCGGTAGAGTTAGGTAGTTCTGTTTGGTTTGTTTGTAATGTTAATGTCGTGAATGAGTCGTTTGTATGAAGCCGGTAGTAGTTGACACCTGTTTAGCAGTCTGTTCTAAGTTAGTAAACCAGCTTTCCAGAGTTAGTCGTTGAAAGTAGTTAGTGCTGTAGGTTAGGTATTGCGCAGAATCCCAGTCAATATTGTAGTTCATAAGTCGATGATGTTCAGCAATGTGATTGTTGACATCACCCTTCCTCGTCGCCCGTCTGTGTTCAATCAGTCTTGTTGCGAGGTTTCTGCCAGTCTCTCCGCTGTAGGAGGCTTGGCAGTCGGAGCAATTGATCTTATAAATCGCTCCCAGTGTGTTCCTCGGTTCGCCCTGTCTTTAACGTTGGTTAGTAACCGACGTAGTGTGGTGATGGGTTTGTGGGCGACGCGGATATTGAAGGGTTGTAAGATGCACGAGATGTTCTCAGACATGCCTTTTATGGACGGTATGGTTGCTGTAGTCGTAGGAGTTNAGCAACCATACCGTCCATAAAAGGCATGTCTGAGAACATCTCGTGCATCTTACAACCCTTCAATATCCGCGTCGCCCACAAACCCATCACCACACTACGTCGGTTACTAACCAACGTTAAAGACAGGGCGAACCGAGGAACACACTGGGAGCGATTTATAAGATCAATTGCTCCGACTGCCAAGCCTCCTACAGCGGAGAGACTGGCAGAAACCTCGCAACAAGACTGATTGAACACAGACGGGCGACGAGGAAGGGTGATGTCAACAATCACATTGCTGAACATCATCGACTTATGAACTACAATATTGACTGGGATTCTGCGCAATACCTAACCTACAGCACTAACTACTTTCAACGACTAACTCTGGAAAGCTGGTTTACTAACTTAGAACAGACTGCTAAACAGGTGTCAACTACTACCGGCTTCATACAAACGACTCATTCACGACATTAACATTACAAACAAACCAAACAGAACTACCTAACTCTACCGACGGATCGAAACAGACCAATCACGACCGACTTACGCCACTTGAGTTTTACAAGAACATCACGGCAAAACTGAACAATCATTGGACTAAGAACATTCTACTGACAACAACTATTCACTTGACTCTGATGATGACTTCCGCACAGGTTGTCGACACGTCAGTCACTACCACCAACAACAGTCCTTTTCAGGACTACACTCACCCGGACGATCACACTACACTTTCACATGTTACTCCCGGGTTCAAACCATTTGCTGCAGAGACCAAAAATGTAAGTTTACTTCTAAAGTATCCCAAAATTATTGGCATTTGAATCGTTGACGCGCGATTTTGCCTCTTCGGTAACTTCGAGGCAAATGGTACTTGTTATTCACTTTCGGAGCAGCCAATATTAGCACACGCCAAGAGAGCACTATTCACCTGCGGGCTATGTACGAACTAAATTCATTGATGAAATAATTGCCTTTTTCCTTGGGTAAATCGCACTTACCTATCATCGGACATGATTTTAAACCCCTAGATTGCAGGATCTTCTCCCAGTCGTGCCAAACTTAGTCTTGTTTGACCTGAACTCAAATCTTCTAGACAAACCCATTCCATGTTTTTCTCTGGCAAGAGGAGATCTGCCCAAGTAAGGCAGAGAATCTTTGAGGTAATCGGAGTTCCTTTCGGCACATTTTCTGGCCAAGAAGAGGGACGTTCAAAAAATAAGAGAGTATTATTAAAGCACAAAAAGGTTACTTCTTCATACATATTGTGTATAACTTAAAGCCAACTCTTAAATGAGCCTTAGGCTGAAAATGACATAATCTGACGTACTATTGTTGTGATGGCATTCATTGAAAAACATTCTCTTATTTAAACCATTGATGTGATGTTGTGATCTGCCCATTGCAGATTTCTCGCAATCTCAGACACACTGATATCTTCCAAGGGAATCTCCCTGTCGACGATTTCAGCCCAAGATTCTTCTTCGGTGACGTTTAGCCACTCGACATGTTCAAAGATTTCCTCTTTGACTTCTTCAGTTTCATTGATCTTTATCTCGGCTTCTTGAATGGGTTTTATGTTTAGATTAATCTCAGGAGAGGTAATTTCTTCCCAAATGCCGTTCTCTTTATCGTTATCTTCACTAGTGACATTTTCCCACTTAACCTGCTCAAAAAGCGCCTCTTCAACTTCTTGCATATCAATGCAATCTAACACACTGATCGTAGTTTCATCTGCAAATTGAAACAAATCCGAATTTGACCCAGTAAATGTTTTTATGGTTGGCTGTCAAAAGAATATGATTTCACTGACCCTGATTTATTGTTACTGTGATGACTCCTGCATTTACTGAATTGTCCTCTCAAACAAAAATGATGTTTTCGTACCTTTGATAATTGTTCTCGTTTTCTCGAGTTCTTTTATTCCTCCACTGCAAGGGAAGAAATCAAATGCTTTTGATTATTTCAGCTCCTTTACATTCCCCTCTCCTCTCCTGCTATCTCCTTTCCCCAGCCCTTCCCCTCCCCCCTCCTCATTCCTCTCCGCCCCTCACATAAACCCACTCACAATAATTCTTCTGAGTCGATTTTCGCATTTTGTTTTAATCTTTCTCCACGCGTAAGTGGATGCATTCCTTTTTGCAAGAAACATTCGGAAAAGTAAATGAACTGAAAGTAAATCTTCTCTTTCTTTCTGTAACGCTGAGCGAAAATAAAGAACAAGGAATATCTGGTGCGCAAAATTACACTTTTCTCGTCAATTCATGATCTTTTAAAACGAAACTAAATTTTTTTTAAAGTCAGATTATTTTTGAAATGTGTTTCTTTTCTAACGAAATGCTTTCTGCGCGCGATCGGCCCACTCTACCAGAAAAAAAAAAGTTTTACACTTTTTTCCGTCGAAACATCATAAAAATGTTCATAAGGTGTTAGCCTTACCTTTCTTCGTTATTGTAATAACCAAAATATGCCAATGTATGTAAAGCCTCTATGAAGGCACACCAAAATGTCACGAGAGGCATTTTGAGCTCTATTCTCCTTGTGGAAAAATGGATCTCTTCTGAATGAACGTCACAGTCAGGTTCAAGTTGTTCGTCAGCACGCGTTCGAACGATTATGCGCCGGCGATGAAACTAGGGAAAGTCTAGACTGGTGGAACTATGATTGCGTAGTCCAAAATGTTTTTCTAGAGTCGCTTTGTTTATTTAAGGTCAACAACCTGAGTCAAAAGTTTTCAGCTCGACTCTTTTGATACTTATTGTCGTCTTTTCCAGGCCCCCAGCTAGTTCGTGACCATGTTCTATCAGCGGTCGGTTTTCTGTAGAAACTATCACGTTTAGTGAATCCATAGCAACAGATCAAAACAGATGGAAAAATGCGATTTCAGGTCGCAATGAATGCGGGGCATTTGACCTGCACTCCCTAGCTTGCCGAATGAGTAATCCCTAGATCGTCTAGTGTTATGACAGGAAAAGTCGACAACCTTGTTGAAGCGGCCGCCTTGACCGGTTAATAAAGGGACGCGAGGAAACTGCAGTGAAGCAACCACAAGTCTAACAAAATCAGGCTGGTCCGTGGTCCGTTTATTTTAAGGCATGATAGACGATAACTTGATAAACACGAACTATAGGTTACGTTAACAACAGTTCGATCGAAATCCAACCATACTGACTGTCAAAGACTGTTAGGTTCCAACACGAGCGTGTTCCTCCGTGAATTCTAGCTACATAAAGATTTTTTAGCTCGCGTTACTCAAGCGGTTCAGAGTCCACATGCGAATCCAAAATACCCGTATAAAGGGATCACGTGACGCAACAAAACTAAAGCTGAGAAGGCGTTACACTTGTCAGGAGTTTTAATGTAGCCGAAAAGCAACCTATATATGATTATGGGTGAGTTTTGGTGACTAAACATGGAATCGAGCTCCCTAATTTGGAATCTTATTCTTTGTAAATATTGTCTATCATTAAATATTCCTTGTGAAGATTGAAATAAATGGAAATAAAGGTCTTCTTACTAGACTTTTATGGAAATACAACACTTGTTTTACGAAAGAACTAAAAATCCTGGTAGGATTTGTCTCGTGACAGATACTTTCTCTTAATGACCCTCAAAAAGAGGCAATGAAGAGAGAAAAAATCATGAAACATTAAAACTTACACGAAAAATTAACAACTTTATTTTTTTCTCAGTTCGTGAGCGGACGATATTCCGTTACAAATCCTGCGATCTGATTGGTTCCGAGATCGGGCAGTATCATCTCTCATCCGGCCCGCTCACAGCGAGTGGTAGCCTATCCGTTGCGTGTTGAGTTGCCTGTTACATCCTTAGCTTCGTTGCAAACTTTCATATATATCTTTTATTTTACCGGCTGGTCAGCTTCGTAATTAAGCAGAGATTCAAACTCACGAGCTTTAGCCGATAAAGAACTTCTTAATACTTATCTCTTTCTCTCTCTCAAATAAGAAAAAAACTGATTTGGTACCGAATGTGTTTTTTCAATAAATTGACCCGCGGCTATATCTTGATCTATCTCTTGATCGACTGACCGGTTTCTTACCAGGATAAATAAAGTTATTATTATTATTATTATTATTTACTTACTGTGACGATATGTCAGTTGTCTATATCAGCCAATCAACATTTAATTCGACCATGTGCTCAGCTGTTGTTGTCCGCTTTTGACAATATGACCGTGTAGCATTGCTTTGTTCAGATTAAAGTTCCGTTGAGTTTACTGTTTATCCAGTAAAGAGTCCTTATTTATACATGGTGTCAGGAGTGAACGGCTCAAGCAGCGACTGGTAAAGACGGTCTTCGTTTCAGTTAGGAGACGTGCAGCTCGACACGTTCAAGTGCCTTGTTCAGCGAAGACTTGAAAGCAGACAAGTGTAGTCAAAATTACAGCCGACGGTGGAAATGCCACTTCGCCATCGACAAGCGGTACGAACACTTCAACTACATTCTCGTGTAACGTCTCTTTACCCCTCGAAACTAGAGGTACGCGGTGTAAATCTCTCAAAAGAATGGAAACAGTGGCGACAGGTATGGGATGCCTATGAAGAAGTCACCGAATTACGAACGAAAACAAGCCGCCTTCGCATAGCAACGTTTATTACTTGTATTGGCAAGGAGGCTCTCGAAGTCCACAACGGCCTACCGTTTCAAAGCGATGAAGAAAAGGCAGATATAAACAAAGTGCTGGAGTTATGGTAAAATCATTGCATTGGGAAAATAAACATCATCTACGAAAGATACAAATTTAACAACCGCATGCAGGAACAGGCAGAATCAATCGACACTTATTACATCACTACACTCAAAGCGTTCGCCTAAACTTGTGAGTTTGGAACTTTGAAAGCTGACCTTATCCGCGATAGAATCGTTTGTGGTGTCCGTGAAAATGGCATACGTAGAAAACTACTCCAAGAGTCCGGATTAACGCTGTCGAAATGTGTTGACATCTGTCGGGCGAATGAAGGTACCGCTGCACAGATGAAAGACATGGCGCCGAGCCAAACTACTGAACAAGAAGTAAACGCACTCAACCATAAAGAAGATTACAAGACGCAAAAGGCACCCAAACAAAATGGTAAAGGTCCAAAAGACCAGCTAAGCGCCGAATGCAAATATTGCGGTAAAAGAGTCGAACGGAAAAGAGATAAGTGCCCTGCATACGGAAAAACCTGCTCTTCGTGTGGAAAACCCAACCACTTTAATTTGCAGCAAAGTGTTCCAAGAATTCCCGCGAATTTAAAAAAGTGTTCACAGAAGCCTAAACGCAAGAAAGTGAACCAGCTCGATGACATATCAGAGTCTTCAGAAGAAGAAGAGATCTTGTCTGTGTCTTTGGCTCACACCGCTAACGCCGTGGACATGTAAAAGTTCAAGAACAAAATTTTCGCTCACGTGGAGATTGGAAATGAGTTAGTAACTGTGCAAGTCCATTCAGGAGCTTCCTGCAAAGTGCTACCCCGCAAGTTTCTTCCAAGAGACACCGAAATTAAAAAGACCAAGTTGAAGTTAGGCACGTACTCTATAACGAATTTGAAGGTGCTGGGTGTGGCGAAACTATCCCTGCGAAACCCAGCGAAAAAGAAGAAGTATCGTGCTGAATTTGTGATCATTGATTAAGATTACACTCCCCTCCTTAGCTCTTTAGCAGCAAAGCAAATGAGACTAATAACTGTCCAACAGGAAAACATCTTGCAAGTCAAGGATGGTTATCAGGAACTGGATACGGACCGAATTGCTGCGACTTACCCAAATGTCTTTCAAGGTCTGTGCTGTATGGAAGGAGTTCTTCACCTAGAAGTTGACGAGAGCGCCTCACCTTAAATCACGCCCCCTCGTCGTGTCCCTCTCACCCTGAGAAAACGGCTGAAAGAGGAGCTAGCCCGCCTAGAAAGAGCCAATGTGATAACGAGAAATGAAGAACCAACAAACTGGGTGTCTAGCTTTGTTGTAACAGAAAAACCAAACGGCATATTAAGAGTGTACATCGACCCAACATCTTAACAAAGCCCTCAAGAGAAGTCACTATCCACTGCCAGTAATCGAGGACATTCTCCCAGAATTAGCCCATGTCAAGGTATTCTCAAAAGCAGACCTCAAAGATGGATTTCTACAGATACAGCTTGACCAGGAATCTAGCAAGCAAACAACGTTCCAGCCCCTCTGGGGCCG